AGGGCTCCTTTGCTCGCCGCACTTACCAGCTGCCAGCCACTTTCTATAAACCTGATTTTCGCTGCATCACTGCCAAAGTTCAGGATGCTTCACCAACTTTCTGTCAGTTTCCAAGATGCCAGTAGTACAAGCATTATTTTTCTTTTTTCTATTTTTTTTTGCAAATTACACACACCACTAGATAACTCTCGCTCTCTTGCCGTGAGCCAGCACCTCATCCCCCGGCTCTGTGTCTCCCTTTCGAGACGGATCTTGCAGCCTTATCTTTTGAGATGCAGCCATATACAGGATGTAACAGCAGTTGTACAGAAAATAAACGTTCAGATCTTAACTCATATGAGTAAAATAGACAGCAAGGGCTCCTATAAAGATCAGTTTTCAGTACTAGTCTGGGGCTGAATGCGTGGGGGGGATACTTATTATTCAGATTGCTGCATTGTTTTCAACTTTCATAAATTCATCCAGCATTAAAGAAACATGGGGTTTGCTTTTATTCAGTCAAAGCTCCTAAACTTTCCATTCACACCAAGAAACATATAAGAATTCACAAGGCTTTATTCATCCTGTCAAAAGCCTGAAGAAGGGAGACTTTATTCTAAGGGGAAAAAGAACAGATAATTGTGAAAAATATAGCTTGGGTAACTCCCTGCTCAATTCAAGGAACACGGGGTAACTAAGCATGCTGCTTTCCTTTAAAATAAGTGCCAGACAGATGTATTGTTTAGGAATTCAATGCACGGATGCTGAAATAAAATCTATCCATTTTGAAGTGAAAGAAAAAGGGCAGCAATTTCACATGACCCAAGAAAGATTTTGTTGCTTTTCCAAACCGTTATGTTTCAGCATACACCTTGTTAAAACTTTTGTATGTATTAAGAAATCTAATTTATCATTTTGAAGTTAAAAAAGAAAAAACATTTGAGTCTAAAAATATCATCAATATTGTACTACTCAAACACAACCGAGCACTGTTACTTTTCAGTGTAATTCTTTTCTGTTAACAGGCTCTATGAAAATATTTTGATTTTTTTGGCAAAAGTTGCAATTTCTTTTCAAAAGAGAAGAATTGGTTGGGTAGTTAGTGAATGCAGGGGGAATCTATAGAAGTGGTTTCCAATTTGTATGAAAATCCAGTTCTCTGCCAGTTCAGCCACTGCATATCAGTTGCTATTGCAGAACAGTTCAACTGCAAATATTGAATCACACAATTCAGCGTGATGTAAAAAATATTTTTAAAATAACTATAGAAGCACATCAGGCTGTTTTCTGAAAAATAAATAAATAAAATTCTGTAGATTATAGGTAGGACCTGAGCACGTGTGAATTATCAGAAAATACCTGAGGAGATATGCTCAAAAATGTCTCCCTTGGCTAATGTTCTTTGCCACTAGAAAACCACAAACCAAAAATCAACCTGTTTGCTTTTAGTTCACGTTTGATGTGGCTGATGATGCTGAAATACAAACCATTCCTCAAATTAAAGGTGGCTAGTGCATCCCATTAGCTCTCCTGTTGAGTTTGACGTGCCACGCCATCCATCAGCCTCTGTCCTGGGCTGTCCTCATCAGACTGAGAACGTGGAAGTTACACACGTCACCTGGGCTCCTTACAGATAATTAAGATAAATTATGAAAATGTAACCAGTGAAGTCCTAATGACACAAAATGGAACCTGCAAACTAAATTACAGCAGTTAATAATAGAACATCTATGGGTATTTCTTCTCTTTGATGGGGAGAGAGCCATTAAATATGGCTCAGCTTATGTATTTGTCATTGGCTTTTCTCTAAGGTAACATCCAGAGTATTGCATTGCAGAAAGCCCCACGCAGCTCCGGTTGCTCAGTACTTTTGGAAAATAGAACAAATACATCTCTCGTCACATGAGGAGTTGGTAGTTTCAGTCCAGCTGTCCCTGTTGCACCCCGATGCACTTGGTTGCTCAGTGTGCTACAGCCAGTGTTTGTCCTGGTACAGCTCAACAGTTGTGAAATCTTGGCTCCCTGCGAAATTATTTGTCAGGCTAGGCAAGTCTATAAAGGGTGAAGCCTGGGAGCCAGACCTGCTGGTAACCCATTAGCAAATGTGGTCCCAAGGAACCAGAAGATGGTTACTGGTGGAGGTTTTATGTTCTGTACTGGGAGTCTGCAAAACAAACATGAAAATGTTTCATCCCTGTGCTCTGGAAAGCACAAGTAGGTTCTGTATGTCAGTTTTGAGCAAAAATTCTTTGTTCACTTCCACAAGGCAACTCTGAATTAAACATTTATGAAAGAGATGGACTCCCTGCCTGGAATCAGAAGGGACTGGGTTTAGTGGCCCAGGAGGTGTCTCTACTGTTATGTACCTGGACATTTTTCCATGTTGAAATTTTACACGGAGCAGGTAGCTCTGAGCAAGGAGAGCAGAGTGACACATCCCAAGTTATGGCTAAATCCTCTGAGGACACTTTTTCTTGCAGTTTAGGCTTGCTGACAATTACAGGTACAAAGTATAGCAGCTGAGGATGTGCCCTGGTGTGCTGTGTGGGTTTTTTTTTTCCTCTTTCCTTCAAAAAACACAAGCAGCTTTAGTGAACAGACACTTCATACATCCCCAGGCGTGCAGTACAGTCCTGACCTATCTGACAACATGCTGCACTTCAGTGAGTGCTGTAAAACTTTCTTGGGATCACATGAAGGAACAGGTGACAAAATGGGCATCAAATAATCACCAGTTCAAGCTTCCAGATTTCTATCTACCCGTTGATTTTGACCTTTCCGTAGGCCCGCGTTTTTTAGTAAACAGACCACGCACATACCCAAGGTGATGCTGCTCAGCAGCACCAGAATTAACTGTGGCTAAAACCACGTTAGGGGTGCAGGCAGCATTCAGGTACGTGTGTCCCTTCACATCAGCCAGGCTTTGCAGCAGCCCTGAGCCCCCCTGCCCGTGCTGAGCTCCCCTGCAGACCAAGGCCCCAGCCGCTGCGGCTGCGTGCGCCCAGGCAGGCTATGGGGAGTGTTGCACAACCCCGTATAATTTAACCACATGCTGAATAAATACACTTTTGAGAACTCTTTTGAAGAGATGTTGCCTAATTAATCCTGCAGGGGGTATAATATGTATATTTTTGAAATCCAGTTTTAGCATCATGCAATTAGCTTTTATGGCCTAAGGATTCTGATTTAAGACATTCTTTCATTACCAATGGTAATCTGTTTTAATTATAAATGCAAATGTATTTTAGATCCAAATGTATCTGAGCAGTACAATGTAAAAAGATGATTCACAGCTAATGCCATTGAAGTGCCTCGAGTCTGGTATTCATTACACCTTCTGTAGTTTGAACCCTGAGGATCAACACGATACTCAAACACATCTCTCAGCTGAAGTATGTGGAGGCTGAATAGATTTCTTTAGGAAATAGAATAAGTATTAATCAACGGGGATCCTTATGAGGGCAGCAGAAGGAAAATCATAGCTTCAGGCAAAAAGGAGGCGAGCATTTGGAGTGTTCCAGGAGTGATTTCAAGCTGGTGAGGGCAGAGCACAGCTCCTGCCATGGTGCAGGTGCTGAGCAGACAGCATCATCTTCCTTGGCTCCGTGTCAGGGAGCATCCAAGAGCTTACTCAGGCCTGAGCATCCCGGGCTGACTGGGGAGGGCTGTAGCTGCTGAAAGCAGTGCTGCTGTAAAATTTGATCTGACAGCGTGTCTGAGAAAAGCTGTGAGCAAGGCAGGCTCCAAACATGTAAAGGCTATCGCTTGCTGAATATTTGCTGCAGTCTCTTGTCCCGGAGATAACAACCACCGGGTGGGTGGTGGTGGGGCATTGTACGTTGCAGTAAATGATTACCATACTCAGCAAAGTCTTTCCAGAGTCAAAGAGCCTCTGCTGCTAGGCCAGTCTACCCTTGCTGTTGTTTTCAAATAAAAATTTATTTTTCCTAGCTATTTTGAAAGATGTGGCTAAAGGAAGTAACTGCTCAGCACCAGTGATGTAACTGTGAAGAGGGGGTTTACAATGATAGTATCTCCTGTTAAACATGTTGCCTGGTAGAGCATTTTTGCAGCTACTTGCAGTTAGCCACTGATGCAGTGGGGAACTAAGCAAGTGCGGTTTATGTAGTGCACCTCTCCATGTCTCTGCTAAACTGGACTTTGAATTTTTTCCCAAGAGGAACTTGCTGGTAAGAAGAAATGGTGTAGGCACTGCAAAAGCCACGGGAGGCTCCATGGGGCCCTCCAGAAACCAAAATCACCCAGTTCCTCAGGACCAGCCTTGTGGGGAAGGCTGGTAGCTGGGTCAAGGCACTCGCACGGCTTCAGAGAGCTGAGAGCTTGGCAGGGTGCTGCAGAGAGCTCTCCTGTTCCCCGAGCAGCAGATGCTCTCCAAGACTTCAAGTTCCCATCCCATCTTTCTTGCTGACGCAGATAGAGTGTAGTAGTGATTTCATCACCTGCTCTATGACAAGCGTGTTGACTGGTGCCACGGGGAAGGCTCCTTACAGAACTGCTCCCTGCCCTGGAGAGCTGTCAAATGCCAACCGAGACACAGATCGCGTGAGGCTGTTATATGGGGCGGCAAGTGATGTTCTGCATTTCCTGCTTGAGCTGAGTGAGCCAAAGCTTCCCACAAGTCTGAGAGTCGTGAGTGTGCAGTTAAAAGTCTCTGAGCTGCTTAGCCATTTCCCTGTGCCGTGTTCAAAGAACCAAGCATCGCAAGCACCAGCAGTTCTTATCTGTGTGTTTTATTTCCCAACCGCTGTTTGCATTTACTTCATCCATTACTTCTTTTAACTCATCACAACCAGTACCTTTGCTGTGAGCTTGTATTTTCCGCTAGTATTTCTGGAGGAGAAGGGTGTGGAGGAAGCTGCTTTGGGCACCAGCCCTGGAGGCTCAGGCTGCTGTGTGTCTGTCGTCCAGCACCCCAACCTCGTTGTTCTTGGTGGTTTCGTGGTGTCCGCCCTCGCCTGCACCACTTACAACTTATTCTTATTCCGTTCTTTTCTTTTCAGGGGCTGTCAGAGCCTGAATAATTTAAGAGTGAACAAATGAGAGACGTTCATGGAGGACTCAGTTCTTACCTAGGCACAATTTGACAAGCATGTAGATTGCCTTGGGTTTCCACTGCACCTACCACAACTTTACTAAGAGAAAAGCCCCCTTTCCTAGACATCTGTGTCACTCTTGCTTAGTAAAGTTATTCAAGATCAGCGCCTTTGGAATTGGTTGGTAAATGGACAAAGACTTTCTCTTTGCCCGGAGCTCCTGACAGCCTCCAAGTACCAAAGAGAACTCCACACCACTAGAAAGCAAGAGACAGCTGCTGAATGTTGGAAGCTACTGCATTTGGCAAAAGAAGCTGACGCTAAGATGCACACAGTTGTGTTTGTTTGTTCTGCTTGTTTTCTGTGCTTTCTGAGCCCTGTGTGTGCCTGGAAAGTTTAATGACCAATGCCTTCTTTATCAACATGCAGTTTTTCTTCCTATCCCAAAAAGCTTTGGGTTCTGTTCTTGCTTTCCCCGCTCCCCCCAATTCCAATTTATTTTGTCACTGATACTCCTCTGTTGTTTCCATTAGGAATTGTTTGGGAACACACAATTTCCTTTGAGGTAGGGAGATATAAATAGGACATTCAAATGTCCTCCTCTCTCCCCAGAAATCCAGCAGTGATCCACCTTGTCATACAGGCTGCTGGCTTCCAGCGTAAGGCAGAGCTGACCTTAGCAATGATGTCATTTGACTGAGAAATTACTTCGTTAAATGTGGAAAAGTTCTTACAGTAGCTCAATTTGAAAGCTGCTGAATGAAGCTGACCCCTGACACTTTGCAAAAGAATAAGGCTTGTGTTGTATTAACAGCTGCTTGGAAACCATGTGTAATAAATTTTGTTTTTGTGCCCACCACTAGGATAAAAGATGGCATTCGCCGACTCTGGTACCCTTAATACTCTCAGCAGAGTGACACTGCTTAGATCAAAGTTTAAAAGTCTGCTTCTATGTGGGTGTCTACGCATTTCACAGTTCCTTATGCTAAAAGTAACAGTGTACTTGCAAAGGCCAGCAAATGCTGCTCTTCTTGTTCAGCTTCAATCACGACATTTTTCCCCTTATCATCCCGTATAGGTTTCTGTAAAGGTTCAGGGTTAAAACTTACTTTTTTAAAGAACGTGCATAAGTCTCCTGTCAAAATATATCAAGGAGGTTTTTGCTTTGTGTTTGGAGTTCTGTTCTTTTCGCTGCTAGTGACACTTACTCTGGAAACTTCAGGGTTTGGGATTACATTATTTTTGTCACAGAAAGAGGACAGTGTAAATACAAAATGTAAAGTAGAAGAACTTAGAGAAGTGCTTCAACAAGTTGTTTGACTAAATTGAAATAAATGTTGATTTGTTCAAAAAAAAAAAATCATGCCCTTTCTGGATCTTGTTAGTCTTGACTTTTTATTTCCTTTCTTTGCTAAAGCAAGATGCGTGCCTCTAGCCTTCAGAAATCCGCTCACCCAGCTGTGAGGCATTACCAGCAGACTATTCCTACACGCCTTCCCTGCAGACGTGGTGCGCTTGCTCTGGCTGTGCGCTGGGCGCAAACCCCAGGCAAGAGCATGGGTACATGAAATCGAGTGCGTAGACATACTGTGTTTGTCCTCAAACTCTGCTGCGTGGAGCAGTTGCTCTTTGAGCTTTTCCACATCCTTTCATTCAGTAAAAACATATTCTGGAAAGGAGTTGCTGTGTCTGGGGAGATAAGTGAGGTGTCACTGAAGGACACAAGGTAGGCCAACAATGTACCTATCTCACGGTGTTGTGGGGTAGGAGCTGGCATCACCCCAGCAGATTAGTGGATTCACTCTGGGGGTGTTGTCCTCTTACTAGTCTCGTCCTGAACTCACAGCAGTTTATATGAGGGGTCGTATGGGACTCTGAAGAAAGATGATTTTGTCAAGAAGACTGAGAGGGGTACAGAAACCTCCCACTGGACATGACACGGATACCCATCATGGTTTTAAGCAGTTACACAGAAACACGTTTCTGACTGGGACATTTGAAGAGAGGACCACAGCTACGTCAGCTGACATTGAAGTGCTTGGTGCTGCCAGGTTGAGTTGCACACCATCCTGAGAGCCCCTTCAGAGCCCCAAGGATGTGCTCTGCCATCATGCGCAGCAGCCCCTCAGTTAAATGCTCATCTCTAGGAAGCAAGATCTTGTCTTGTAGCAATCTGAGGACTCCCTTTCTTCTTCTCCCTGCGCCTTCCCTAAAGTCGCCTCTGGCAATAGCTTTAGGCTCATGTGAAACAGCAGATGTGGTGATGACTGCTGTGGCTGTTCCTCTTACCAGGCACTCTTGGACAGTAACGAAGTCATGTTTTCATGCAGCAGGCTCTGTCACTGTGCCTCACCCTTGTGCTGTTCCTCTCCCCGGAGGCCAGGCTCACTCATTCAGCACGCTCTCTGGATTTCAGTAACTTTTCTTGCAAGGTCTCTTGAGACCGTGAGCCTCTGTGCTGTTTCTCCAGGCTCTTGGTTTTATCTCACCCTTCGAAACTTTCCCAGAACTGCAGTGACTTTTCTCTGACCCCCAGGAACCGGCGCTCTTGAGCCCTGACACTCTGACTGGCACAACCAAGACCTGGAGACTACTTTGGGATGTCAGCTTTCCCAGAGCATGCTGGATGAAAGCCTCATCTGAGCAACACCAGCTAAAAATAAAAGCTATTCAACTGGAGCTAATGGCGGGTTGCCATGAGTTATTGCTCATTAAAGCGAATTGTCAGATGCTTAACTTCAGCTAATCATTTCCTGCTGCGAGATCGGCCTGGTATGAAACATCCTCAAATGTGGGAAGGGGATTCACAATAACTAAATTTAGCTAAGGGTGTAATTTCCTTGGACTCCCTCTGTTGTTAATGGAAAGAGAAAGGGTGCTACAGGGGGCAAGCCCCTCTCTGCATCCCCCTCAGGCAGTGAGCACAGCTCCTTGACTGTGAGGGCCTGGGGTGAGCTGCTCCCTGACACAAAAATCAACAAACCCAAGTGCTTTGCCACCCCAGCTAGGCGAGTGCTTGGTGTCCTCCACTTCGTTTCCTACCTGAAAATAACGATCAGAATTTGAATATTAAAAGTTACAGATCAGTGGTTCTTTCCCCAAAACTGTGAGTCAAACACAATTCCCACAGCAGCATCCTTCCTTCATTACAGTGTAACTACAGGGATCTCGGCAGAACATCCTCTTTCTCCAACAGCTCTTCTTGCCCAGTTCCAAGAAATAAGAGCTCTTCAATAAAGGAACAGTTGCATTCTGAATGTCGTGTGATTTATTTATTTTTTAGTCACATTTTTTCTGTTTAATTTTGGAAGTTAGTTTGTTTTCAAGTTTGGCAGTGAACCCAACAGCCAAATTTTGAGTTTTTATGTTGCAGTGATTGGACAGTTTGTCAAGTATGTTTGCTTTTAGCAACATAGGTTTCTTTCTCTGTTGGATTAGAAAAAATTGCGTAAAATATTTAACTCCATACCACTCTTTGAGTTCGGACAGAAGCAATTTTGTCCATGTGAATGGAATTGTGACAATCCTGCCAGATTGATTTGTGCCTTTTTGACATGGCTTCCAAACTGAAGCTTCAAGTGACACTCCCAGATACAAACAGAAAATTCCATTGCAACTTCCCAAGGCTGCCCATTTCCAGGAGACTGTGAAGTTCAGGAGAACATTGGAACTCGGAGCAGAATTTGCATCTAAATTTCAATAGCAGTGTTTGAGGGTGTCCTTACGCTCACGTGTGAGGTGTGTCCTACGTTGTGTCCTCTCTCTTCTCCCTCGCCGGCATCTCCACACGCAGCTGGATGCGACCGGGTCTGGGTGCGGGTTGGGAGCTGGGGAGGACTCCAGACAAGTTTTGCAATTCCATTGCGAAAGTTTAGTGTACTTCTAATCTAAAGGGCTTTTCAAGCCAGTTGTCCTTTATCTTCATCCGACACGGGCACTGAAAATTTCCTCATGTCCATTTGCGTTCTTTGCTGGGACCTTATGTGGAGGCAGTGCCTGAGGAGGCAGTTTATCTGTTGACGTTAAAACACGTCGGGTTCATTATTTACATGTTATGAAGCAGTGTTTTCACTTGAAGAATAGCTGTAAAGTGACTTTGAATTATCCAGATGTCACTACCTCCCAAATTTTTGCAAATCCATGCCAGGTTTTACATGCAGAATAGGCTCTAACACTAAAACTGGGATCTGTACTGTCATCTGCCTAAGCCACAAAGTTTTGTAACCCTGACTCGTGCCAATAAAAATGTTTCTCTGAGTGTGTTTTGAACATTTAATACAAAAGCACAGAAAAGACCAAGGAGTCAGTGTTTGTAGCTCCTTCTGCCATCTTTGAGCTCGCCGAGTAGAGCGTTGGCCCTGAAGTGCTGGCGCAGACAGGAGGTGGCTCCCACCACATGGCTTCCCCTGGGGAGCGCATAAAGCCTCGAGGGGCCCAGAGTTGTGAATTGGAGCCCACAGCCTGCGTGGTGAAGGAAAACGCTTGGAAAGGGCAGGAGAGGCAGCGTTTTGATGGTTTGGATGATCCTTGTTTGTTTAGTGGGAAATACTAACACAGGGGCTTTTTTTGTGCACAGGGTGAGTCTGGATGACTCCTGCTTTCCAAGATTTTCTGCTACAGAGATTCCTGTCCTTCAGGAAATAATAGCTTGAGGACAGACTGAGTTACTCTTTCACCCACATCTGATTCAATTCTGTCTTTGTCAAAAATGTTATTTTACAGCAATCACTAAATATGGAAAATGGGCTCTGCTGAGCAGAGCAGAGTTAATTTATGTGCTCATCGGTCAGATTTTCGTTATTGGCTTTCATTCATGAGTGGAATTATTTCTGTGAAAAAAAATGTTGATTTAAATGCACATGCTAATAGGATTACAGAGTTCCCATTCTGGCTCATTTTCTCTAACTTCTGTGGAAAAATCCTTTTCTCTAAGGCTGTTTTTCTGGGGTGAGAAATGGAGCCATACATAAATCTGCTGGTCCCATGTAATTATTCAACTCTTCTCACCTCGAGCAAGAGTGTGTCCTGCCGTAGTCACGTCTTCATAGCTCTAGTCTGTATTAACTTCTGGGTATCAAGGCATATTTCCCTTCTGTCATATACGGTCTGTGGTTAGTGTGGATCAAAAAGACAAGCCTTATGTTTTCTTCGGAATCACTCTGAGAAGCCTTTCCCATTTCCCGTTAAAGGCTTGGGTTCCTGCAGATGAATCCTCTGCTGCATGAGCCTGGTCAGACCTCCTCTCCCCTGCATGCTCTGGGGAATGGCGAGGTAAAAATAAAACATCTTGTAGTTAAGTTCCAGCAGCAATTCCTACTGGCTCAAGTGGGAATACAGCCGTGCCTCTAAAATGTGTCTGTGAGATTTTTGTTTTTCCTTTCACTCAAGGTTGCACAGAACTGGAACCTTCCATTTTCCAAGTAAAAGAGCTGTGCTTTTCTAGACGTCTGTTCATTTCAGCAGCAACAGCAAAGATTTCATGATTGTGGCAGTGCAAAAGCTCTGAAAGTTAAAGCTCTCTGGTCTGGCTGTGTATCTGCCACAGTCATATTGCCAGAAGTTTCTCGGAGGTTTGCTTAGGCGTGTTTTGGAAACTGTCATTTCTTCTGTCTGAATGAATGGGTTGGCCAGGAAATCCATCTAGCCACACTAGTCTGCTGACCTCCCTGCACCCACTCCACTTTGCCAGATACCTTTTTTTAGATTTCTGCATCCCAGGATGGCGGTAACAGGATGACCACGCGCTGCAGCTCGCTGCCAGCCCCGCAGTTCCTGCAGACCCCTCTGGTGCTGCTGCTTGGTGGCTCCTGGTGGGCAGCAGCTCCCTGAACTGCCACACAATGGGCCTCTGGCTCTTCTTGAGCAAAATCTGTCTCCAGACAGCTCTAACGATGCAGTTTGCAGAGCACATACATGCTGGTGCATTGGAAGAACACGGTAACATGTTCCACTTGATCCACTCTGTGTCTGGATCTCAACCTCCTGCCACGTGTTTGATAAATGTGTTTGTAGCTGTATGTGCCACGGAAGCAGTGCAGCTCACACCAGCAGGGCTTTGGAGCTTGTCCCAAAAGTCTTTCATAGCAGATTTTGTGCATAACATGTCTATGTCTGTTGTGGGAGCTCTGCTCTTTCTTGAGTTCCACTCCTGCCTCCATGGCCGTGTCAGGGGTGACCTGTGTTGTGTGTAAAGCAAATCATTCTCCACAGGGATGGCAAACAGCAAGTGTGGCTTGTTTTGGTACAAAACACAGTTACGTTTGCGGTTCCTTGAAAAGGAAAAAAAAAAAAGTTATCAATATTGTGTATGGACTCATTTGCGTTTCAGACAGTTCATATTTGGAGATGGTGAGAAATAAGACAATGAGGTAAAT